AATATTTTCTTCTTTTCACACCCCCAATTTTCTTTTACAAACACAGGCCCATTTTATTTTATTTTTTTGTTTTGATTAACTTTTTTTTAATCATTTTTATTTAATCAGAAAAAATAATAAAATCACAAAAAGTTTAGATTTAGGTTTTTAATTAATTAATTTAATTTTTTATAAATAAAAATTAATTTAATTTAATCACTTTGATTTTATTTAATTATAATTAGGTTTTATACTTCATATATCTTTCTAAATAAAACATCAAAATTATTTTCTAACAATTAGTTTCCTTTTTTTTTAAAACTAAAATTAATTTAGACTTCTTTTTTTTAATTAAGTTCTCTTTTTAATTATTAAATTTAATTTAGTTTTCTTTAAGTTTTTACTAAACTTTTGTTATTGAAAATTAATCAAATAATTAGGTTAATCATCAAAAAATTTCATCAAAAATCACAAAACAATTTCCTTTCCCATTTTCTCTATTTTACAAACCTTCACGTACTTTATTTCCCAATTATTGTAACTGCTTCAGTCTGTAATAGATAATTAGGTTTACTGCTTTTCATCCCCATTCATAAGTTTGTACTCCCCATCCCCGAAGCATTGTAATAGCTTAGGACATTTAATTTCCATAATTTACTGCTTTCCTTATTACTGTTAGCAATTAGGGTTTGTATGATAAGATTAAAATCAACTGATAGCAAAACCTTAATTTCAAGACAAAAATACCTGAAATCAAAACACTTCGCACACACGCACCTCTAGGATAACCTCACTTGTTGCCTCGGATAAAAAACAATCATGTCCCTCGAACGTGAGATGCTTTAGCAAAGACCCTCAGTTAAAAGATCATAGTCCCTCTATGATCCTTTGATGCTTCCTTCGGTAAACGATCTTAGTCTCTTATGAAAATTGCTAAAATATCCTACAAGTTGCCTTCTATGACTGTACGATGACCCACGTTTGTCCCTCACATCTAATGATATGGCTTCCTACTAACCAACGGTATGATAGCATTATCTAAAGGAGGAGGAAAAGAACAAAGACTTTTTGAGTAGGTAGATCGCTCTTAATCGCTTGCTCACAAATTAAAACAATTTTTACACCTCACACTTTCAAAACAACTACTTTTAAAGCACTTTATAAACACTCTTGAGGACTGATATAAGGGTTATTATAAAGCAAATTGTCTTACATTGGCAGTTTCAAAACACTTTCCAAAAACAACACTTTTTTTCACAAATATTTTCAAAATAAACACTTTGTATACATTCTCAACCATACGAGAATCATTAAAAAATTTCCGCACTTAGGCATTTTTTAAATATTTTCAAACATACAGAAACATAAAGCATTTCAAAGTGAGCTAGAAATTAAGAGCACGTAGATAACTACGGATGAAAAGGGTGCCAACACCTTCCCTTTTCATAACCTACCCCCTTACTCAGAAAATTCTCAAAAGGTATTTCTTGTTCTTTTCACTCTTTCCTTTATTGGATAAAAGAAAAGTCGATGGCGACTCTTGCTATCTGCAATATTTGCGATAAAACGAAAAACCTAAAAGTCAATTCGCCCACCGTATTACAGCCATGAATTGAAAATATATAGTCATTAGGTTTGATTTTATACCACTCTCTATGAGAGTTGGTTATGTGTTCCACTCGGTTGTGAGTTGGACTGATGTTATAGAGTTGTAGTCTCTATTATTGTTCTCCTCGAAGTTGTGAAGCAAGAGTGAGTATTATTCTTGGAGGAAGCTTTTAAGTAACTCCAAGTTGTGTTCTTGTTAAGTGTCTTGATGAGTATTTTCATAGAAGTGTGTCTTCTGTTTTCTTTCATGGAAGTGTGTCTTCATGTTTTGTTGTTCAATCGTTGTCTGTGATTGATAAGGGATTAAGGAGGGTCTCATACCTAGTTGAGTTTTAGGTAGAAATATAGCACGAGTAGTGATTAAGTGAGAAGTTGTAAACAGGGGAGTTTAGCTTCGAATTAATATTATCATAGTGGATTTGTCCCTGACTTGGTATGCCCCTAGAGTAGGAGAGTTCCTCTGAACTGGGTTAACAATTCATGTGTGTTATTTATTGCTTTTCAGTATTGTTTTGTATGTTGATACCTTACCTGTGTTGTTGAAGTCAGATCATATGTCTCAATATGTCATAGGATATCTGAGTTTTGATATACCAGAATTTCACTTGAGAGACCAAGTGAAGGTCTGATCTCAAGAAGACTCCTGTTGCAGCTTGAGTGGATTTGCAATAAGGATTGACTGACTTATTGGGGGTTCCAATAAGGTTGATCTGACTTATTGTAGGTTATCTGTGATCAGTTTGGTTATAGTGAATTAAGTCCTTGTTGAAGGCGAAATTATCTTGAGTGGTAGGCTGGAGTAGCTTCGTTAACAGTGAACCAGGATAAAAATAATCGTGTTCATCTATTTTTATGTTCTAGGTTAACTTGGTCTTTCATCATCGAAAAGAATTCAAAATTATTTTTTGGTGAAACCCAATTCAAACTCCCTTTCTTGTGTTTCTCACACCTTCAGTAAAGACAAATCCCAAAGCTGAAATAGTCAAGCATAAGGCTAGACTAGCTGCAAAAGATTTTTTGCAAAGAGAAGGTATAGACTTTGATGAGGTGGTTGAACTTGTTGCTAGGAGAGAAACCATACGGCTGATTATTGGTATTGCAAATAATAAAAATCAATCGATTTATCAAATGAATGTGAAACCCGTGTTTTTGAATGGTCCACTTGAGGAGGAAGTTTATGTAGAATAGCCCCTTAGTTTTGTTGTGAAAAATCAAGAAAGAAGGGTCTACAAATTAAAGAAATTGCTTTATGGTTTGAAACAATCTCCTAGAGCTTGGAACAAACGCATTGATGGTTTCCTAGTTAACATTGATTTCAAGAAATGTCTTTCCGAACATGGTGTATATGTGAAGAAGGATGCAAGCAAAGATGTGATCATACTTTACTTATATGTGGATGACCTATTGATTACGAGCAGCAATGAATTGAGTATTTCTAAGTTCAAGGGTGAACTTATGGAAGAGTTTGAAATGAGTGCCCTTGGGATCATGACTTACTTTCTTGGCATAGAGTTCCACAAGTCAAAATTGGGACTGCTCATGCACCAAAGAAAGTATGCTCTTGAGATTTTGAAAATGTGTGATATAGAACATTACAATGTTGGCAATACACCTGCTGAAGCGAGGTTGCTGCTTTCCAAAGTGATGATGAGAAGAATGTGGATCCGACGCAATATAAGAGGTTAATCGGATCATTACGTTACTTATGTAATACGTGGCCAGATTTGGTATTTAGTGTCGGTATTGTGAGTAGATTCATGGAGAGGCCGAAGGTGTCTCACTTGACAGTAGTTAAGAGGATCCTAAGATACATCAAATGAACTTTTGGCTGCAGAATTCTCTTTTCTGCAGTTGATACGGACAGAAAATGCGACTTGCTCGGTTACACGGATTTCAATTGATGCAGAGATAAAGACGATAGAAAGTCTACGGCTGATTATATCTTTATGTTCGGAAGAGCACCAATCTCTTGGTATTCTAAAAAGGAACATGTGGTGGCCCTCTTTTCTTGTGAGGCCAAGTATTTCGTTGTGTTGTTATGTGTGTGCCAAGCCATATAGCTTATGAATCTGTTGGGAGAGTTGGGCAGCAATGTTGGATAAGTTATCACACTTTTGGTTGATAATGTTTCAGCCATTAATCTTGCTAAGAATCCCATTGCACATGGGAGGAGCAAGCATATTGAGATGAAGTTTCATTACTTGAAGGGTCTGGTGTGTGAAGGCAAGTTAAAGTAGGGATATTACCGAAGCGAAGGACAAGTTGCGGATTTATTGACGAAAGGGATCACAAATAATGTGTTCAAGAAGTTGAAGAGGAACTTGGGACATGGAGAACTTGGAGCATATGAATTAAGGTGGTGTATTGAAAGTACAAAGTAATTCAAATGCATTGGATAAGTTTCAGGGAGCAAATTAGAGAAAACAGCTTAAAGAATAAGCACTTATGGAATGCAGAATGTGGAATTTTCGAAGGCGTAATCGATTGCGCAAAACAGCGTAATCGATTACGAAGGCATGTTTTTGTTTTGTTTTTCCAGTTATCGAAGTCGTAATCGATTACAACATTTAGCGTAATTGATTATGAGCCCGTGTTTTGGACTTTTTAACTTATTTTTGAGTTGTTTTGTTTCCCATATTTGTAATGTCTTATATATAATAGACCCTCAAGTGTAATATGTTCAATTAATGTTATTTGATAAATTTTTCTCCTCAAACCTCAATTACTCTTTCATTCTCTTATTTTTCTCACTTCATCTTCTACCATTAACACATTTCCACCAATGATTCGCCAAGTTAGTTTATGTGTTTCAACACGATGACAATATTAAGAGCATTCATTATATTAAAACTGTGGTAGTGTGAGGTTCCAATTTATTTTCTGATGAATGGGTGTCCTTCCTCGCCCATGCTCAACATTGGTTTTTGAGATTCAAGGTCCGCCTCATCAGCTTGATAATGTTGTGTTTCAGCATATTTTTCATGAGAAAATCAGTGGCGGGAAACCTTAGCAAAACACATCATCCCTCTTTATGCTCCACCTGTTTACCGTAAAGACTAAAGAGTATTAATATCATACTTTCTAACACACATTTTTCAATAGGCTCTCTTATAATTGAAATTAAATAGAACCCAATAAATTATGTGAGCAGAACTATAAAGACAGGAATGTGATATTTTGTATCAATTTGTGCGGAACAGAGTTATTGTTAGTCTTTACATAATCATGAAGAAGAAAAAAAACAATACATCTAAATCTAAATCTAAATACTATTCTTTAAAATAAGAGTTAAATGTACAGCTAATATTGTATATCATGAACCATTGAATTTACTCCACCAAGAGTATATCAAAATCTTTCAAATAATGAGTAAAATCTATGCTGAAACCAATATGGAAATTTTCATAAAAACACTAAAATGTGAAGCGGCTACCGGTTCCATCCAGAAAACGATCAGTGTGCCACCCTTTGCTCTGTAATTCTTTTAAAAATACAGGAAAGACTCCATTCATTTTGTCGTAGGCGTCTTGCAGAACACTAGCACTAAGCTCATGGGAAGAACCCTCAATCTGTGCAGCAAATGCAGCAACTAGCCAGCCTCTCAATGCATCTTCACCACTAGCATCTTGTTTCAATACCATGTCAATGCATTTATCCCCTCGATTTAAAAGAAACTTCTCCTGAGGGAATACTTGTTTCAATTCAACAAGCTTCGATGGCTTAATAACTTCGTGTAAAGACTTCCCTACTCTTACATTTCCAGCATCTTCTTTGAGTCTCACAGGGAAAAGTAGATTCTCCTTATATCTTAGGTCAGCAGGGCTTGATACGATTCCTGCCTGTTTTTGAATTCAACTAACAGTCAAACAGTATGGTATTTTTTCAAATAAAGGAAGGAAAAACAAAAGGAGAGTTTGTTTACTACAATAATCCAAACCAGACCTTGAGAAAATCAGTCACTATCATTGCAATTCTTTGTGGATTCAAAGTATTGATAGGAGTAGCTCTCATCTCTTCAGACACGGAGTATATATGTATAGCTGAAAGGAGAGGACAAATGACCAACTGGCGCAAAATGTTCCATAATCAATCAGTTGGAATCATTAATAGAATGCATGTTTTGCATTTGAGTTCTACAGCATGATTAATAATATCTCTAGACATAAAACTAGAAGAAAATATTTGCTTACAATAATAATATAATACCACTGATAGAAAGGAGTGGACCCACAAACAACTAACAAAAATGGCTTCACGCTTCGATTGAAATCATCAATAAAATGTATATTTTTCACCAAGGCATGTAAATCATCAATAAAATGTATATTTTTCACCAAGACATGTTGCATTACTCTAAGTGAGGGCACCTACCTACATGAGTCGTTTTTCATGAGTAGAAGAAAAAATGCATTATATTCAACGTCATAAATTTATACAAAAGTATTGCCATCACTACTCAAAATTGCTAGGTCCATCGCTTCTCGTTTCAAATAATGTATATTGAAGACACTTTTACTTCATAAGCGGCATTTTATTTATAATAATAATCTTGAAGTTGCAACCATAACATATGGTCCTAACAAAAGAGATATAATTTTGGACACTTTACACCCATCACAACTTTTTTGTTTAACGTTTGTTTTGAACAAAACTTTTTGTTTAACTTCAAATGTTAACTTCTCAATTAATTTCAACAAAAGCTACACATTTGTGAGACTTAACAGTTTCTGAATATACTGCCTTAAAATTACAATTTATTTTAGACATTAGCCCCTTTAAAATAAACTTTAGCAGTATGTTTGGGGGTTGGGTTTTAGATGGGAAAGTTTGGAGTGCTAAGTCTATATTTAAAGGAAGGGCGTGATAGATGATCGGATAATATTTCAATCACCCTTTTAATCGACTTTAGAAACATTTTATTAACTTTTTTATTTTAGAAATGAAACATAAGTCTTCCCTCCTTTACCTCCAAAAATACTTCCAAACATAGCTCAAGGGTGGTGAAAATGTTAAATTGCTACAGGTAACATTAACAAGTCAAACTAACTAAAGTTGAAGGGTTAAATGACACAAAAAGAGTTCAGTGGAATCATTTGAAAAAACAGTTAAATTCATAAGAGGGTAAAGTGTAATCTACCAAATAATTTTGTTGAAGCACAAGAACTAGTTATAACTTAATTAAACTAATGTGCCATGTTAAGATCCATAGAAGAGGGAAACTTGGCCCAAACTTGTTGATGCTAAATATAACCATGAAGCATAAATCTGGAGTTCCCTCATAAGTCCAATATCACAGAAAAAATGTGTTCCCCTGTTACTATCCTTTTTTTTTTTCTAGAACTAAAAATTGTTTTTCTTTATTCTGGGTAAATTGGTACGTAGCATTGAACCGCCTTTAAAAGGATTACATAAAATGTATAATCCAAAAGTCCACAACCAAGAACAATATCCCAGATATTGTCAGCACAAACTAATTGTACGACACAAGTTGAAAATTAAATCTAACACTAAAAGCCAAAGAACAAACAAATAAAATCTCTATACCTTTCCCTGCATTGATGCACAGATAGTAGAAGCTAACCGAATTCCAATTCCAATTCCCACAACATTACAGAGAGTTGAAAAAGCCTCCCCTTTAGCAAATAGGTCACTGAGATTTCCCTCTTTTGCAAACGATGAATATATAGGCAATCGTGTTGCTCTGGCTGCAACAACAGCCATCCCCTGTTAACTCCATAATAACAGAACGAGAAGTTAATAGCTTTAAAAAAATTATATATTTACCATGAATCTGGAATAGGATGCTAAAGTTCTTTTAATAATGAAGTACAAAGGCTTTAATGCACAATTAGCACAGAATCAACTTTATAGTGCAGAAAATGCCATAAAGTGCAATTACTTATAAAAACCTAAACCTTGGCAAAATTTCCTAGGCCTGCCATTTCAAGAAAAAGATGTGGGCATAACGGAGAAAGCACTTCCAAGCCCATGCCCAAATCATAAAGCACGTCAGCTGCAAAATGTGGAGTTAATCACAATAAGACAGCTTCCAGACTAAGCAAATTTCAACTACTATAAGAAGAGAAGAAAGGAGTAGGATGAAAAGAAAAGCTCTAGCTCAATTGCATACCCAGCAACCTCCATCGCTTAGGCTCAGAATCCATTCTTGCACCCCAATTGCTACATATTATCTTTCCTACATGTTGCATTCCGTCCTTTAAAATCTGGATGCAAGTAACACAAACAGTGTATATTAAACATATGCCACAATTACTAGTCTAAGAAATTGTCAATTGCATATCATTATCAAATTACCCAGCTAACAGCAGTTGCCTGAGCAGGAGTCGGCCGCAACCCTGCAGCAATTAGCAGTGACTGCACAACAACACCCAGATAATATTAAGCAGGTGTACATACCACTATTTTTATTATGTTAGGAATAATTAGAGTATGAATAAAAAGAAGGCTAAACATTCATCAATCATTTTGATTTTTAAATGTATGAGGCATTGTCATTATAGTCTCTAAACGTATCAAAATTACAAAAAATAATCCCCAAATGTCTTTTGTTTGTAATTTTATAGATTAAACTGACTAACGAAAAACAGATTCAAAGACCAAATCAACTAAGAAAATACAGATTCAATGGCCAGACGGACTAACAAATATGCATTTATGTATGTTTATTTAATTTTGATACAACTAATGTGACACCTAAGGTTTTAAATAACGGCCACAGTCGCATAAAGCCTTACGTGATTTCGGTTGGCACAGGTGTTACGATACTGAATGCGGTCGTCGCGATATGAATTAACCACAATTTATTTTTCATCATAAAAATAGTGAATAACAGTTTCAGTATCAGCAGCTTCTGATACCTCTTTGTCACGGCTGTTTTGGCGGTAACGGAACGTTTACCTTTACACTAAAAAGAATCTACATGGTTCACTAAGATTTTTCAGAGTGTATGAGAAAGTGCACCTGAGTTGAAAGCACTGACATTGCAGCACTGGTAACATGTTGCACAGCTCGAAACTGCGTGTATCTAAGATAGCCTTCATTTACACTAGAAAGGAAACACATGAAAACTAAGCCATAACCAAAACTAGATGATAATTTCAGGAAGAATAAAGAATAAAATTCAATCCACCTGAATGGATAACCAGAGGGGAAAAACTTGTTCATGAAAGATCCAGCAAGCTTTTGATATAAGGGTCTAGAATCATCAACAAGAATTACCTATAGAGAAAGCATAAACATTTGTTAGGGTAACGAAAGAGCTATGAGTGGTTAAGTATTAAAGTATGGATTATAGAAAATGGTTGAATTGAATTGAATTGAAATGGCGTACTGAGAGATGACCGTCGGGTTGAAATTGGTGGCGGATACAGACGGAGTTGGAAGTTTCGAACCAGAAGAGAGGGGTTCCTTCGTTTTTCTGCATTTCGATACTGTCAATGTCGAAGTCAACCAACTTGTGAAAACCAGAGAGAGAGATTGGGAATGGTGCGTGCTGAGTTGCGGAAAACACGTGAGATGAAATAGATAGGGTGAAAGGTGGGTTTAGCGACGAGATTTGAAAACTGCCTGCATCCACGACGGAGGCACCAAGAGTAACATGACACTGGTTTAGTTTGGGGGTACACGATAGAAAGGACAGAGAAAGAAAAGGAAAAAAATAATATTAATAAATAGTGGAAACTAAGTTTTAATAAAGGATACTTCTAAAACTAAAATAAGCAAGATAATACGGTGCATATGGTGATAAGCTATACTAGTTTATAACCAAAGGATCTAAACTATTGGCTCTTAACTTAACTATATCGGCAAAGCATACGAATGAGGCTCTCATTGTGATTTTGACTTGGCGGTTTTTTTTAATTGAACGAAAGTATATGAACGAAAACTATTAGTTTAGTGGTGATGGACGTTGAATTTGATAGAAAGATTTACGATTTGATTTCCTGCAATTGTAATCAGGAGGGAATTAGAATTACTTGATATTAGAATTGATCTACAAACTGAACTATATCAGTGATGAAAAACAAAAAAAATTGGCTAATAATTGTTCGAAGATGTATCATGTCACGTCACCAATTTGACTATGAGGGAGGATATCATATAGGTCACAGGTAATGGAATAAATATTACCTTCTAAAATGACAACTGGTTGGGTTGTGAAATTATGAACATTAAACTTCATGCTCGGACTATGTTGTCTACTAGAGTTAGTGACCCGATTGAGGGTGGGAGGTTGATTACTCTCAATCTAATCTCAAGTGAGAATCTGAACATTGCTTTTTGCATTATTTAGATTTACATTCAAATGAACAATCGGCTACAAGACCTATTAGTTTAGAGGCACGCAAGCAATGGTGCCCTTTAAGTGAAGGAGACACACAAATATCAGGTGCATCCCCAACCTTCCCTAGAATGGGCACAGATAGTATGACAAGCTTTCATTCCCCCAGCAGTGTCATTCACTTTGTGGAGACTAATTCACAAAAAGTTTCTATGTAATTTGAACTTGCAGAAATATGGTTGTAATCTAGCTTTGATGTGTAGTCTGTGCAATAATCACACAGAATCTTTATCACATATTGTATTTGAGTGTCAGTTTGAAGTGTCTAACTGAAAAGAGATCATTGCCACATTTGGGATTAGACTCTTACCAAAGTCGATTGAGGATCTTCTACAGATGACCAACCTAGGGTGGCATCCCAAACTTAAAGACGCGACTTTAGCAGCTTGGTTGCATACAGTACATAATATTTAGCTTGTCATAAATGATAAACAATTCAATAATTCTTCAATTAGGATTTAGTTCATCGTGGGAATCATTTTGGCACGTACTAAGTTGAGCTCCCCCCTTTCACACGGATGGTTTGTGCTTCACACTTTAGAGTGAAATATCTTGGACAAATTGCATATTAGGTTAAAATATAGAAGGGCTCCAAAAATTATTACAGTTATTTGGCAAAAACCAAATCGAGGATAGACAAAAATCAACACAGATGGTCTCGTTAGAGATAACATAGCTACATGAGGCGCCATTAGGGACCATCGAGTTGAATTCCTTGGCGCTTTTTCGGCGAACTTCAGGCCAAAGATAGTTTTCGAGGCATGACTCCTCTCTTTTATGGTAGCACTAGAGCTTGCATCGGTTAAAGGTTGGTCCAAAGTATGGGTAGAAAAAGACTCTCAAGCTTCTCTATGGTGCGTCAAGAGTGACGCTTTAATGTCATGGGAACTCCAGAACAAATGGGATAACTGCAAGCACCTGTGTAGTCTTAAGTGTTTCACTCATATTTATAGAGAAGGAAATAAGTATGCAGAGACTGTAATACCCTAAACCCTGAAACTTATAATTAAAGACTTACTCGACAATTTAAGGTGTCACAACAAAAATCCTTCAACAATTTGAAAACATTTAGAAACATGCAGCAGAATTATAAATAACACATAACACCTTTCATCACACGCTCGCCATACTTTAGGCTCATTGTGGCGGAAACATCATTAAATCAAGTAATAACAGCATAAAGACTCTAGAAATTTAATCTCATAAAGATTTAACTTTCGTAACGTAATTAAAACGAAGTTGTATCGTTCAACTATCAATAACTCCAAAGCCTCAACAAACATGGTATTGACTTCGGCAATCAGCTCAAAACATAATAAAAATGCTACATCCCGATGTTACAGAATTAGAGCATTAAACCACTATAAACACGATAAATAAATGAAAATAACTCCAAGAGCAATTTCCCACTCACAACAGCAAACTCTACTCATGAGTATCTGCAAGATGTCCATGATGGACAATATTAAAGCAAAAGGGGTGAGAATTCACTTTAATAAATTAAATGGTATAAGCTAAAAGGTAGAATACAAATATCTACACATACTTCATATCAATCACATAATCATATTCTCACACCCAACTCAACATCATACACAATCACAACCACACATACAAATCATTTATGCAATGCGACTCAAGATAACAACCCGACTCATATGCATGTGGTACCAATCAACGAAGGTTCTTCATACGAACCGGGTCCACTCTTTTAGACCTTGAATCCACCATTTTAGGTTTGGGACAAGTTACCAGTCCACCCTTCTAGACTTGTAAAATGTCTCTTTCAATAACAACGACACAAATGATGCATGACATACAATTGATACAACAACAATAACATGTTTATAATCCCCATTCGAAACATAAACAACAACGATTATTTATGTACACATAATTATCCATAAAGCATCAATAGCATGCATTCCACACAATCATTAAACAGCAATATCACCACAACGAATAACATGCACACAACCATCCATCAACATGTTTAGCAACAGAACATAATTATCACAACTCAATAATCATGTTCAACATAACATTATCATCTACATCTAAGCATCTTCATAAATCATCAATCAATTCATAAAATTGATTAAAATCATGTTTAACCATTAAGTCAGATCAAAACAACATCAAACAGTAACTAAATAGTAGGCCCAACAGCCAAATAAACTCGAAAATTTAAGCCAACAAGTTAATTCTAGCAACTAGGTGAATTACGCCCTCTTTGGCAACATGACGGGTTTCCTGTCACCAGGGTAACGCCTGTCAACGACCCTAAAACCCCTAACGACTAACCCATGATGGATGACTCACAACTTGAGCTTGGATACCATGACGGTCTACCCGTCAGGAATCTGACGCCCGTCAGCACTCTCAAATCCATGACGATCAGGTTGTTAGATGAGTGACACCAATCACTGACCTTCAGGTTGCATAATTCGTTTTTTACTATGGAGTTTAACGCAGAACTCTAATTTTTCACTTCTAGCACCTAAACTCGACTCAAAACATTTCATACATACCATATACACATCCATATCATATTATTGCATCAAATTAACACCATTAGTCCATTATTTCCATAACTTCACAAAATCCTTATAACCTTCAAATCTCATCAATGGCTTCCCAACATTAACAGTTCCCAAACAGGATCTATACCCCAATTGGTACACAAAAATAATCATCATAAGTAGCATACATCAATATAACAAACATCAATTTCAGATATTCAACCCAAAACCCAATAATCCTATTAGAGGTTAAGGACTCATCATTCTACCCCCCAAGCATATACCCATTAGAGAAGTAGCTTTCCTCCCTTACATGTATCTTTATTGAAGCGGTAAAACGGAAAGCAAAAGTAAGTATTTATTTTGATATAGGTTATATTGTATCGTCTCCACATGGATTAGTGCTACTGAATTGTCATTCAACAAATCTCTCGTTAATGAGTTTGGTTTAAATGGGTTTAAAGTAAATGCGGGAGTTAAAACTTATGAACAAAAAATAGTTCATTCTTCAGAGAGAAGAAACTTATCAAGCATGCATATAATCCACTCCTCACAAACTTAAACTTATCGGCCAGTTATACTCAACCTACAATACTCATCAATGTCATTGCATATCAACCACAACACCCATTATATCATCTCGGAAGCGATCTCTCAACCAACCTCAACAACACAGAAGAAAATCGTGTTACTCGCGTCGGCGATCTCTCAGCACAACACAACCAACACAAATGCATTAAGCACAGACACCCAAGTGAATAATAGATCTAAATATATCTCTAGAATCTAGACACTATTAGATAATCATCCTAGATAAGAATTTGAGCAATATACGTCTATAGCAATCTAAACCCCAAACACAGAGTAAAACTCCAGGATAATATTCGACAAATATTTGTAAAGCAGGCTTTATATAACGCCATGGGTGATAAATATACATGAGTTCAAAGTAAATACATATATAAAACCCAACAAATGAAGAATATGTGAGTACAACTTCGCTTCAAAAGTGTTTTGTATGATGTTAAAACTGGGACAAGATGGAACTTTTATAAAGTAGATGGTATCCATATGTCTTGTGGCACTCCTCTGTATTATAGGTCTTAGGAATCATCAAAAAGCATATTGAAATTGATCCAAATCATTGAAAAACTATTTTTGCATAGTTTTTTGTTGTATGTGTCGACACATTCGAGTTTCAGGTCGACAGATGTAACTCATTTTTAAAGCCTGTAGCTTCTGTAAGTCTCAGGTTGACACATGCATCCATACAGGTCGACACATACTGGAAGAATTCTGAAATTCTAGAAATTTCCATTTTATGTGTCGACACATCCGTTTTTCAGGTCGACACATCTACTGGCGTATTTAAGCATGTAGCCTATGAGTTGTTCAGGTCGACATATGACAGTATTTGAGGTCGACACATACGAACTAAACACAAATTATGTGTCGACACATATGAGTTTGAGATCGACACATCCGTTTTGATTCGATCATATTTTAATTTCTTTTTTATTCCAAATTTGTCCTTAATGCCCTAATTGTCCCACAACTATA